AGAATCATCGACCCATACTTCAGTTGTCTTCTCCACCTTCCATAGCTCCAAAGAAACCTTTCTGGTGTACAAGACAAACTGAAACAAATAGTCTCTGAAAGGTGACTTACTGATTTCAATAAAAAGTGTAATTTGATGACAGTTCTGCTTCAATAATGTGAGGCACTTCTACCAAACTACAATTCAGTTGCCCTAACTAAAAGAAGAAAAAATCCTAAGTCTGCAAGCTGACCTCTACAAAATTCCTGCCATGAAACCATTCTTTCCTTCCAGCGAAGAAAAAGATCCTACACGTTCAAGTTCTTTATCATTTTACATGTGGGCTGCATGTCATTCTCCAATGGTCTCCCTCTCGCTTGGTTGCTCTATGTATTTCCCATAACTGATTCGTCCTTGGATACTTTCTAACTATTGAGACTTTCTAACTATTGAGACTTTCTAACTATTGAGACTCAGACCGATCCAGCCATTCTGGCTTTACCACAGGGAATAGAAACGACAAGGAATAGCAGGCTTCGGAACAGACGCCAAGGGCACCCAAGTGCCATCCTGAACCAAAACCGGGACAAACAAGAGGTTGGGAAGCAAAGTGGCCTCAGGCCAATGACCTTTCCCCCTGACCTTGAAAAGGTACATACACACTGCCGCTCACAGTTGCTAAACTGAATGGTATTCACGAATGTGGAACTAAGAATAATTCAATATTTGGAATTAAAAGAAAACAGAAACTAAATCATAAGCGACGCCTGCATGAAGAAAAGGAAGGTTCCAAGGCCCTGACAGGCGAGTCTGAACGTGCAGTAGCTGGAAAGAGGAAGAGGGAAGCGGAGGGAAGACGCCGACACCTTCCGCCGACCTCAGGCGCCTGACGTCCCGGGAGACCGCTACCCTCGGTGCGCATGCGCAACTCGCGGCGGGAGCGTGGCGGGCGCGCGCCTGCCGCGGGGATCCGGGGCCGCGAGGGTGGGGCGGGAGCACGTGACCGGCGTTGCCGCTTTTCCGGCCCGAGCCGCGGCGGTTCGGAGAGCGTCGGTGCAGAGCAGTTCGGTTTAACGTGGGTTTGTCCGCAGGCCTGACCACTTCTTAGTCTCCCTGCTTCTCGTCTCTGCTCTTGAAGCCAGGATTCTGGTTTGGCAGACCTTTTTCCCACTGAGTCAAATTAGGGCAACCTGAGGGGACTTCCGGTCAAGATGGCGGAGTGAGTAAACAGTCTCTGAGAAGCTGAAAATGTGTCCAAGGTCACAATTTTTTTTTTAAGTGAGGGGCACAAGCTGAAGTGGTGCTTTTTCTGTCTTTTCCTCCATAGCTAGAGTGCCACTGCTCCAATTTGAAGTTCTGTGGCTCTCCCCGCAAGGCAATCAAAATCCTGTTCCTACTGCTTGAGACTCCAGAATCTGTAGGGCACCCTGTTGTAAAAATAGTACCCTTAAAAAGAGGGGGTGGGGGGGGGAACTGCTTCATATCTCAAGGATTGAGGGCTTGGGGAAATGAAGGTAAAAATTTAGAGAAGCAAGTGTCCCATAGTAGTAGGACACATAATTTACCTCAAAACACGCATCCCAGAAGAACACTTTATTCCAATTTAAGCATCTAAAAGCATTTGAGCACTTAAATAAACTCTCCCCGTCTGTTTATTCAAGCCTCCTGTCAAGAATCTGAAGTAGTGCCCCAGCCAGTTTTGCTCAGTGGATAGAGCCGCAGCCTGCATACTGAAGGGTCCCGGGTTCGGTTCTGGTCAAGGGCACAGGCCCGGGTTGCAGGCTCAATCCCCAACCAGTAGGGGGCGTGCAGGAGGCAGCAGATCAATGATTCTCTCTCATTACTGATGTTTCTATCTTTCTCTCCCTCCCTCTCTAAAATCAATTAAAAAAAAAAAGAATCTGAAGTGGTGATGCCTTATCTGCATGATGGGGTGGGTCCGCCCCAGAGGAGTAGGCAGAATGAAGGGACTTGGAGAAACGCGATCTCAAGGCTGGAGTCCTTGACAAGAAAAGGAAATGGGGTAAAAGCAAATCAGATGAGGCTTAATTCTAGAGTTCTGATCCACACACCAAAGGCTACAGCCTAGGAACCTTGGCAGTGGGGAAGCAAACAATCGTGCAAAAAGATAAAATGCCAAATGTGTCAAAACAATAAAACAGGAAATTTAGCCCTAGCCAGTTTGGCCCAGTGGATATGAGTGTCGTCCTGCGGACTGAAGGGTCCCAGGTTCGATTCCGGCCAAGGGCACATTCCCGGGGTTGCGGGCTCGAGTCCCTGTAGGGGGCGTGCAGGAGGCAGCCGATCCATGATTCTCTCTCATCACTGATGTTTCTATCTCTCTATCCCTCTCCCTTCCTCTCTAAAATCAATAAAAATATAATTTTTAAATTAAAAGAAAAGGAAATTTAGCTCCACATATCCCATTATACCGTAGATAGCTTGGTACAAAATAAATAAATAAGCCCCCTGACCTGGAATCCTATTCAGAAAGATTTCCCTTATTTCCTACAAATATAAATCCTCAACATTGCGGGTAAGAGTTCATTCTTAACTCAGAATCTTCTCAGAAAACCAGCGGGGAGTGTGCACAGCTAACGATGGATGTGTTTCCCTGCCGGAGTTGCATTGCGGTGGTACTTGCGGCTTCCCTGGCCGACGCCAGTTTCCTCAGGAGCAGCTGCCATTGGTTAAGTTTAGCTGCTTCAACTGCAGTTCCTTCCATTACACTTACAGCTTCTTCTGCCAATCCCAGCATTCCTCAGTCAGTCACAGCTACCGTGTCTACATAAATAACACTGAGTTCCACTGAGCCTGTTGTTGGCGTCTCCATGCCAGAAGGACAGGACGCCAGGAGAAAATGCCTCCAAGTGGAGAAACCTAGTAGGGCCTTTATGAGTTAACTCTGGGGCCGTGGACTAGTCAAGGAAAGTCACAGCTGAAGTGCAGGGCACAGCCCTAGCCTGTTTGGCTCAGCGGATGGAGCTGGGCCTGCAGACCAAAGAGTCCTGGTTCTCCCGCCAAGGGCACGTACCTTGGTTGCAGGTTCCTCCCCAGCCTGGGCCCTGGTCAGGGCTCCTGCAGGAGGCAACCAATTGATGTGTTCTCTCACATCTCACGTTGATGTTTCTCTCTGTCTTTCCCTCTCTCTTCCACTTTCCCTAAAAATCAATGGAAAAATGTCCTCCGGTGAGGATTAACAACAACAAAAATAATAAAGTGGAGGGCATAGATCATACATGGCCTCCTACAAGATGGTGCAGTCTGAGTATTTAATAGGATAATCAGAGGTATAGAGAAGCATTTACAGTGTCAAAGTAACTTCTTTTTTGTTGTTCTCTTTTTTAAATATATTTTTTTATTTCAGAGAGGAAGAGAGAGGGAGAGATAGAAACATTAATGATGAAAGAGAATTATTGATCTGCTGCCTCCTGCATGCCCCCTACTGGGGATGGAACCCGCAATCTGAGCATGTGCCCTTGACCAGAATCGAACTTGGGACCCTTCAGTCCTCAGGCTGATGCTCTATCCACTGAGCCAAACCGGCTAGGGCTGAAAGTAACTTCTTGAAGAGCTAAAATAGGTTGTTTTCACCAGTGTTGTGTGCCTACTAGTATTTAGTGGCTTGTGTCCAGTATTGACCAGTAATATGGATGTGTCCATTGCATAAGTGACCAGGTCCAAATGATGCCTTAACAAAAATGTAAATGAGTAAACATTCACAAAATTTAAAACGTTAAACTTGCTTCACTTCCTCTTAATCAGAATTGATTATAGGGTAAAACCTGCTTCAGGGTCTTATCACCCAAAAAAAGTGGTTAGATTTGTATGAAATAAAAATATTTTACTAGTACATAATCATTTTAAAGATTCTCTTGGAGAGTAACTCATTTTGTAATTTCCATTTTGTGGTATAACCTGTTCTCCAAGTTAGGGTTGTCCAATAGACTAGTAACACAAGTAGCTACCTGGGGGCAAATTACCCAAGCCAGGCTCTCAAATCTTAGGCTGATTAATACATGAATAAGGAATGCAGCAGAATGCTATTAAGCAACAGCTGCAGAATATGATTGCACCCAGTCCTAGGAAGAACAGAGAGGACATTTTCAGCAGTTGGGAAAATAAATGTCCTTGAAAAGCCTCTCTTTAAAATATAGAACAAGGAATAAGCAATAAAAGTGTTTTGAATTACAATCTCTCAGAACTGCTTCATTATCTAATACCCCCACCAAAAACTTTTAGTAGTTCTGCTATTTCCTTTAACCAAGAGGGGAAAGGCTTTTAATGTTTTAAAGATGTAACACACACAAAAATACCCTACTAATTTCAATAAACAATTCCTGTAGTTAAAATATGCTTCAATATTTTCCAACTCTTCAGGAAACAGAGTTGCATAATTAATATACCTTTTCAATATTAAACTGTAAGACAATCACGAAAACATTACCTAACATTATACTTGTACCTTAATTTGATAAAATACATTCCAGAGTTGCCTAAAATGAAACATTTTAAAAACTACTTATCACAAGAAAACCAAGAGAGCAGAAAAAACATTGTTTGGTTCAGGTTTGATTTGCTCAAGGTAAACATGCAAGAATTATGTGTTTGTATTTAGATTATCGAAGGGTCCTAAAGATAAACATACAGTATAAATGAAGAGTTTGGACCCATTTTACAAAACTACTGATGTACAACAGGTTTATAACAACTTTAGTTAACTACAAGTAATAATTACTTCAACTGTAGGTAATAAAGTTATTACTTCAAATCAAAATACAAAAAGTACTGGATCAATTTGCAACTCCAAAAGAAAAATTAAGAAAATCCAGAATTTTTTTCTGCTTCTTGGAAAAAAAATTAAGGCAGATTATGAGTTAATTATTAAATTGTAATGCCTCATATCACACCCAAGTGTTTAAATGATTTAACTTCCAAGCTGTTGCTCAGTTTTTTAAAAAGATCTTCAATGCCCCCAATGGTGGTGTTCAAAAGTGAATATCATACACTGAAACTAATCATTAACAACAAGTCTTCAATTTATTTGAAGTAATTCAGTTTCAAAAACTTTAAATTACAGCAGTCTCAGAAAAAACAGGAAACAGAAACAATAAAGGAATACTCAGAAGTACTGCATTTTTTTGTTTGTTTTAACACTGTCATGGCTTTATTCAAAACACAGTTGCACAAAAGTATTAACTTCAAATATTTTTGAGTTTTGAGGAGTTTAACACACTATATACACACTGCCATACAAAGAAGCATTAAAATAGGACCGAAAACTTCTACAAAATATAAAACCCACCCTTATTTGCATGAAAATATCACCCACAAAGCTAAATAAGTCTTAAAAGTTATTTGGAGGCTCTTAAGTGTTGTTTACAAACCAAAGAACAATAATATTGATTGCACAATAAAATGATTGATAAGAAAGCCAGTATATAAATTTAATTTTAAAAATAAGTATTTTATAATCTGGCAAACAATGTGATGAGAATTCTTAGGGACTAAAACAAGGGATTTCAGTTGTTAAAAAGGAATAAAATGTTAGCTATTTGGATATTCGAATCCCCCCACTAAACTTATCTCAAGAGTTTTAGTTCAGTCATTTTGTGCCACTTTTTTAGTTGAAGCTAAAGCAGTACTATACTCAGTAATTTAAATGTGTCCCAGTATGAAAGTGTAACTTCAGTTAATTTGCTGACACTAACAAAAAAACTTACAAATATTCAAAACCAAAGGGGGAAAAATTTAGAGAGCCAAGATTAAAAAAGCAATTGCCTTGAACATGGAGCCTCCATAACAAAAAGGGAGATGAACGTATCTACTCATAATCAGTAGCCATATAAGAAAACACACTCGCACTTTTCCCAAATATTTTTCTATTTTTAATGGACATCCACTTGAAAACAAATCTTAATTTTAATATGGATTTAGTTTCAAATATTTTTCCATTGCCTAATATATTCCAATCAAATGCTAAATCTGATAATGCTTTAAAACTAGAGAGAGAATAATTAAAGGTTCTACTCAGAAAAAATTAGAAATGCTTGCAGAGTGGTAGCTAAGTCATTTGGGAAGCTAACTTATAATTTGATTTGAATGTCTCACTAATTACCAACAGGCAAATTATTCTGACTTTTGAGGAACACTATTGCTGCTTCCAAAAGCCCATCTGCTTTTCTTTCTTCCTCCTTCTACAGTCTGTATATCTTGTCAACCAAGAAGGATTTCCAGTAAGCAGAGTCTGTTGCATAAAACTGCATAGATAATAATATTCATATCTCAGAAAATACTCAGTTTGTTTCACTTAGCTTTTTGAAAACTGAGACAGGTCTGAAAAGGTAATTGAGGTATAAGAATAAAGGTTTTCCTGGGTATTCATAAGTTTCCCCCCCATTTTTTGTTTTTTTGAGGAGAGGGAGGAGAGTGAAACAAGAAAGGAAGGTGATCGTAAAGGAATTGTTGAAAGAAAATGAAACAATGCACACTTAAAAATAAAACAAAAACCAACCATTAGCATGTCATGATCTTCATTCAGCTTGAGAACAAAGGGCTTCTCTGCATGTCTCTGAACTTACGATAAGCAATTTTTCCTTCAAAAATAAAATCTTATTAGCCACCTGGCTTAAAGGTTTCAGAAGCCTCCCCCAAAGCCAGGAACTATGTTGTTGAATAGAACCTTTACTATTCTGCTCCTACTTTCCAAGTTACTCATGTGACAAAAGAGCACCCAAAATCCCTTAGCCAAAAAAGGCATTGCCTTCAAAATGAAGATCTCTGGGTCACCTCTAAAGAAATAACCAACTTATCATTCAAAAGACTATTTTTATTTCATATTCCAGCTGACTGTGATTTCTGTTAATTGATAAATAACTTTAAAACCTTATGAATGAAATGCACCATACTATGCCTGTGCAAAAGCCATCATGTTTTAATTATGGGCTAAAATGACTAAGAAGTAAACTTGTATTAGAAAAATTAAGATTCTAAATAAACTGCTAGGGAATTTCACAAGGAGGTCAATGAAAATTTTTCTCTACATATAATATGATCATTAACAGACTAGTAAATCTTATTTGGAATGATAAGGCAAAAATAGTAAAACCACACTTTTCCTATAAAAAGTTACACATTATCTTATGTAGGGATAACTATTATACATAAAGAAACAAGATGTGACCACTCTATTGCACACCCAGGAATTTAGGGAATCTGGTCTTAGAATGATCTAGTCATCTTCTTCCTCTCCATCATCTTCAGCATCTCGTTTCCGCTTTTCCCCTCGAAGACCTTCTTCTGAAAGAAGAGTGAAACGAAAAGTATAAAATACTTAATTTTAGCAAATAAATATTTGTTAAATTACAAAGTTTGGATCTATCTTAGTGAAAAGTTAATGGCGTAAAAAATGATAGGTTAAGTGTCCTCTGTGAATTTTTCAACTTCAGTTGAAAGAACTTAATAGACTTAGAAATCCATAAATAATGGCAGCTTGCTATGCACTCTTGTGGCCAAATCGTGAAGTACAGGTCAAGAAATTAAGGGCTTGCCCTGACCAGTTTGGCTCAGTGGACTGAAGAGTCCCAGGTTCCATCCCGGTCAAGGGCATGAACTTTGGTTGCGGGCACAACCCCAGTAGGGGGTGTGCAGGAGGCAGCTGATCAATGTTTCTCTCTCATGGATGTTTCTAACTCTCTATCCCTCTCCCTTCCTCTCTGTAAAAAATCAATAAAATATATTTGAAGAAAAAAAAAAAGAAATTAAGGGCTTGATATAATGGACTTATTAGTGAATTTTAAAATTTATTTTGAAAGGCCTAGGTAGAGTACCAGAGAACAAATCTAAAAAGGGTATTATCGAGTTCAACTGTTCTTCCCTTCTAGAGAAGCCTTCATCCTCTCCAAAATGTAAGACCCTGAAAAAATTAATAAACTGAACTCAAAGATCCATTATCTTGCCTGGCCAGTGTGACTCAGTGGTTGAGCGTCAACCTATGAACCAGGAGGTCATGGTTTGATTCCCAGTCAGGACACATGCCCAGGTTTCGGGCTCGAACCCCAGTGGGCAGGGTGCAGGAGGCAGCCGATCAATGATTTTTTTCTCATCATTAATGTTTCTATTTCTCCCTTTCCCCCGTCCTCTCTGAAATCAACAAAAATATATTTTTTAAAAAGAAATCCATTATCTCTTTATTCCTACTTTTAAAATAAATGTTATAAGCTGTTTTTTGATTGGAATTAATGAATACCCTGAGAAAAAAGAGGTTTTATACCTTTCAAGGGAATTCTATATGTTGCCAAAATCAAAGAGATCAGTAGTAATTTTGAACTAGAGTCAATCTTTAAAGTCCATGAATAGCTGTAACTTTAATTTTAGGATATCTTTTTCTTCTTTTTTTAATCTTTATCATTGAGTATTATAGATGTCTCCCCCATCTCCCCCCGCCCCAACACACACACACTGCCCTCCTCCACCTGGATCCTGCCCCACCCCAGGCCTTTACCACCCTATTGTTTGTGTCCACAGGTAATGCATATATGCATATAAGTTCTTTCGTTAACCTCTTCCCACCATCCCCTCCCCTCTTCCCTCTGAGATCCATCTGTCTGTTCTGTGCTTCCATCCCTCTGGGTCTATTTTATTCATTAGATTCCTTGTTCATTTATTTTCATTTTTTAGATTCAATTTTTGATAGATATGTATTCATTGCCATTTTATTGTTCACATTTTTTATCTTCTTCCTCTTCTTAAAGAAGACCTGTCAATATATCATGTAATACTGGTTTGGTCATGATGAACTCCTATACCTTTTTCTTGTCTGTGAAGTTCTTTATCTGACCTTCAATTCTAAATGATAGCTTTGCTAGGTAGTCTTGGTTGTAGGTCCTTGTTCTTTATCACTTTGAATATTTCTTGCCACTAACTTCTGGCCTGCAAAGTTTCTGTTGAGAAATTGGCTGACAGTTGTTTGGGCGCTCCTTATAGGTAACTAACTGCTTTTCTTTTTCTGCTTTTAAGATTCTCTTTGTCTTTAACCTCTGGTATTTTAATTATGAAGTGTCTTGGTGTGGGCCTCTTTGGGTTCATCCTGTTTGGGACTCTCTGCACTTCCTGAACTTATAAGTCTATTTCTTTCACCAGGTAGGGGAAGTTTTCTTCATTATTTTTTCAAACAGGTTTTCAATTTCTTGCTCCCTCTCTTCTCCTTCTGGCACCCCTATGATACGAATGTTGGTACGCTTGAAGTTGTCCCAGAGGCTCCTTACGCTATCTTTATATTTTTGGATTTTTTTTTCTTTTTGCTCTTCTAATTGGGTGTTTTTTGCTTGCTCATATTCCAAATCGCTGATTTGATTCTTGGCATCCTCTACTGTTGATTCCTTATAAATTATTCTTCATTTCATTTAGTGTATCCTTCATTTCTGACTGTTCCTTTTGTATGTCCTTGAAGTTCTCATTAAGTCCCTTGAGCATCCTTAAAACCATTGTTTTGAACTCTGTATCTAGTAGTTTTCTTGCTTCCATTTCAGTTAGTTCTTTTTAAAATATATACATTTATTGATTTCAGAGAGGAAGGGAGAGGGAGAGAGAGAGAAATATCAATGATGAGAGAGAATCACTGATCAGCTGCCTCCTGCGCACCCCCTACTGGATCCTTTCAAGTTGCTGCCCCAGTGCTGGAGCTCAGAGGGAGTGAGTCTGAGTAAGTCTGTGTGCGGCCCTTTAAGAGGAACTGCCTGGGACTCCAGCAGCCTCTGCATCACTCAGCCACAATCCCCACTGGTTTTTACAACCCAAAGTTACAGGGACTTCTCTTCTTGGTGCTGGAACCCTGGGTTGAAGAGTCTGGTGTGGGGTTGGGATAGCCTTGCTCCTCACAGGGCGAGCTCTGCAGCCAAGATATCCCTTCTGATTTTTAACCATCACACATGGGTGTTGGACCAGCCCGTTCCACACCTCTGCCCCTCATACCAGTTTCAATGTGGCTTCTTTAATTCTCTAGTTGTAGGGCTTCTGTTCTTCCAAGATTTCAGGTGGTTCTGAATGATGGCTGTTCTGTGGTTTAGTTGTAATTTTGATGTGGTTGTGGGAGGAGGCAAATACTGTGTTTACCTATGCCGCCATATTGACCCTCCCCCTCTAATTTTAGAATATTTTTATGGCTAATATAACTCACCCTCTTCTTCTTCTTCTTCTTCATCTTCTTCTTCTTCTTCCCCTTCAACATAGTCATCATCATCTTCTTCATCCTTGAAATTCAAATATTCAGTTTGAGAATAAATGAGCCATGACACATATTTTCCAGTTTGATACTTATAATTATAAAAACACGAGATACTAATCACATTTATCTCTTGATAATTTAGAAAAGCCCAAGTTTAAAAAGCTAATTACTTCTCTGGAACTTGTTTTAAAGAAAATATGATTACAGTGCCTATTTTAAGTCCTACATAAAGTCCTTCTTTATACATATTAATTCCTTACTTTTGAAGAGCAGCTGAAATAGAAATAAGAGTCAAACTGCCCTGGCCAGGTGGCTCAGTTAGTTGGGACATCATCCTGTATACCAAAAGGTTTCAGTTTGATTCCCAGTCAGGTCACATCCTAGGTTTTGGGTTCAGTCCCCATTTGAGGCACATATGGGAGGCAACTGATAGATGTTTCTATCTCACATTGATGTTTCTTTCTATATTTCTCCCTTCCTCTCTCTCTAAAATCCGTAAAAAAGATATCCTAAGGTGAGAATTTAAAAAAAAAAAAGACTCAAACAAAAAATACCTAATCAAATACCATTTCTATTTCCTTCTACTTTCTCTTTAAATCTCAGTAGTCTCTGACACTCCCTTCCACTGGCTCTTAGTTTCTAAAATCAAGACCTCATTTTATATATTTTTTTTAATTGATTTTTTACAGAGAGGAAGAGAGAAGGAAAGAGAGAATTGATGAGAGAGAAACATCGATCAGCTGCCTCCTGCACACCTCCTACTGGGGATGTGCCCGCAACCAAGGTACATGCCCTTGACCGGAATCGAACCTGGGACCTTTCAGTCCACAGGCCGACGCTCTATCCACTGAGCCAAACCGGTTAGGGCGAGACCTCATTTTAAACACCCAAATTATCTCATCATAATTGAACACTTCTAGTCCCTGCTACCTGGGTACTACCATTGACTTAATATTATCTTAGAGATGTTTGTTCTATACTTGACCATTCAGTTTTAGTTAATATTTCCCAATGTTCAATGGAATGATACACATAAACATTTGCAGTTAACTAAAGGTCATTTTTAAATTACTTAATACTATCTAGACTTAAAAAGAATGATTGACAGAGAAAATAAAAAGCCAAATACAAAATAACATGAGTTCATTATTTTACTAAATAAATTAAAACTAAGGGGAAAAATACTCAGGTTGTATACTGATTCAAATTAAACAGGTTGCCTTTCTCTATGAATACATAAGATACTTAAAAGTTCTATTCTTCATGATGCTATAGCTCCTAACTCACTAAGGGCCCAAACAAGTTTGAGTCCTATTTTTCTCATACTGGTTTTATATTTAAGAGTATCAGAGAAAAATTACCATTAATCAGTGATATCATCTATCTAACCAATGTAAGTCATTAGGAAAACAAATGAGAATACTAACAATTTCTAGTCTAAGATATTATTTTTAATAATAAAAACTTGTTTTAAATTATAAATTATGAAAACGAAACTCAATAAATTAACAATAGGAGAAACTCCCTCCCCTGAAAGATCTCACCATCTAGCAGAAAGTTGCCAAATAAACAAGTTTTTACAAAAGTGACTACAGGTAATAATAGAAGCCTAATCAAGGTTCAAAAGTAACAGAGAAAGGAGTGACTGTCTTTAAAAATTATAAAAAGCTTCAATGAGGCAACTCCAGAGCTGAGAGTTTATTTGTGTGGTGTTTTTTTTATAAAGTAGAGCCTTTTACAAAAAATACTTTCATTGATTTTTTAGAGAGAGAGGAAAGGAGGGATAGAGAGGTAGAAACATCGATGAGAGAGAAACATCATCGATTGGCTACCTCCTGCACACCCAGTGTAAGGATGGAGCCCGCAATCCGGGCGTGTGCCCTGAAGGGGAATTGAATCACAATCTCTTGACGCTCAGCCACTGAGTCAAACAGGCTGGGCCAGAATAGTTTTTAAATATAACAGTTCACAAGACATGATTTGTGTGGTGGTTACACAAGTATAAACATTTGTAAAATCCTGTGGATTTGCCCTGGCTGGTGTGGCTCGGTGGATTGGAGCATTGTCCCATATATGAAAGGCCGTTGGTTCAATTCCCAGTCAGGGCACATACCTAGGTTGCAGGGATCCGGGGCACGTAAGAGAGGCAATCAATAGATGTTTCTCTCTCACATCTATGCTTCTGTCTCTCTCTCTCTCCCCCTTCCACTTTCTATAAAAATCAGTATTGAAAAAACATATCCTTAGGTGAGGATTAAAAAAAATTTCATGGGCTTGTACATAAAATCAGTGTACTTTACATGCTTTACTCTATTTATGTTTATCTCAAAAAAAGAAAATTCATCCGAAGACATGGGTACAAAGTCATTAATAGAATACTCACATTATATACAGACAGAAGGGCAAGAAATAGCTTCGTGTGACAATTTATTTTGGTATTGAGGGAGATAAAGCCAGAGAAGGAAGCAGGGGCTAGATAATGAAGGGCCTTGTGTGTCTTGGTGGCAACAGGGAAACATTAAAGGGTTTCAAGCAGGCTAGTATTTGCATTCAGAATACACAGGCAAGCACTGCAAAGGCTGCACCTTAGTGGTGATGCTGTATTCGGAGAGAGCATTTAGAAAGCTACAACAAAAGCACAGCAAGAAACCAGCTCCAGTGGCTTGGTTGGTTGGGCATCATCCCATGCACCAAAATGTTGCCAGTCTGATTCTGTCGGGTGGAATACCCGAGTTGGGGGTTTGGTCCTTGGTCAGGAGGGAATGGAGAGCGGCCCATCAATGTCTCTCTCTCACCCCCTCGTCTTTCCTCTCCCCAAGCATGTCCTTGGGTAGAGGTTTAAAAAAAAAAAAGCATAAGCAAGAAATAATTAGGGTAAAGAAAAGTTTTCGTGAGTGCCTACAATGTGCTAGCAACTAGATACTTCATAGGTATTATTTTGTTAAACCCTTAAAACAATCCTACGAGATTGGTATAATCGCTCAGTTTTATAAAAGCAGAAACTGAGACTCAGAAACAGTTGTAAAATGTTTCTATCACACCATGCTGCTGAGTGCAGAATGGATTTGAAAGGTATCTGGGAGGTAAAATCAATAGATGTTTATGATTATCTGGATATAATATGAACTGAGGGGAGTGGGGGAGAAAAATGACAGGCAGGCAGACACATGCACCCCCACAAGTTAGAAATAACTCAGATTTCTACACACCTTACTTTTTATAGTATTTAGCTCTATGCCTAAATAACTAATTTTCAGTGCAGGTAAGAAGGGTCTGTTCACCTGAATTTCTTCTCTCATTAAGTATGAGAGGCCCACTTCCTCTTCTCCCTCTCCCAATTCTGAGCCTGCTTCATCTTCCTCCTCATCCTCTTCTTCCTCCTCTTCTTCCTCATACCCTTCAGGTGGACCTGCTTCATCTTCCTCTTCATCATCTTCATCTCCATCTTTAAAAATATTTTCAGAGATAGGCAAATGGCTGGGCAAATGTTTCTTGATAATATATTGATTCTTTTAACCCTTACCCCAATCACTTCAAACTCTTAAGCAAATGGGTGGGAGGTATCTCAGGGTGATTTTATTTCTTAAAATGTCCTCTTTATAACACCCATATTTACTACTTGAAAAATAGGGTTTCTAAATACTGAAAATTTCCAACATATAGCTTTTCATCACAATATTACATGTACTAAAGTTTATTTTACTCTGTGGACACTTCAAAACCTGCTTGTCCATCATTCCATCACTTTATAACATTGTTTATCCACCAATTCTTTTCAAATAATAGTAACAAAGTGTACCATTACTAATAACAGCTATTTTATCCATCTTAGCTGTTAGTCACCCATTTTACCAAAAATATATATTCACTATCTAATTCTAGAACATTTCCATCAACCCCAAAGTAACCCCAAATCCATTGGCACTCACCATTCTCCCCTCCCCTAGCCCTGGCAACCAATAATCTACTTTGTACTCTGTGAATTTGCCTACTCTGGACATTTCAATATAAATAGTTATACAATATGTAGCCCTTTGTATCCGGCTTCTTTAACTTAGTAGAAGGTTTTCAGGGTTCACTCTGGTATCAGTACTTCATTCATTTTTATGGCTGAATATTATTCATATATATATATATATATATATATATATATATATTGTATTTTGTTTTTCTATTTATCAATTGATGAACATGGGTTGTTTCTACTTAGTGGCTATTATAGATAACTAGATTTGTGCACATTGAAAGGAAATTGATTAAGTGTCCAGCAGGGTGGGTTCCCTCAGCCTGGCCTGCGGGGATTGGGCAGAAACTGGCTCTCTGACATCCCCTGAGAGATCCCAGAGTGTGAGAGGGCAGTTCTCAGGTGACACACCCCAGAATCGAGCTCCCTCCTCTCTGGTTCCGGGGTGGGTCACCTGAGAAACGCCACTGCCAAGTCACCACAGCTCAGCAGCTCCTGCGTTGAGCATCTGCCCCCTGGTGGTCATTGCACATCACAGCTACCGGTCAGACGGTTGCTTAGCCTTTTATATATATAGATACTGTGATGAATGGGTTTTTTTTAAAGTACTATTTTAAAAGTTGCAAAAAAACCTTAACATAACATACATACATACATACATACATACATACATAAATAAATAAAAGTTGCCACTTTTTCTGGGTGGCTTATACAGATATATAAAATTTCATGGAGCCTGATATAATAATCATTAAATGCCCCCAAAGCTATCAGAAATCTCAAAGAATATAGGACTAGGGCTATAGGTTTCTAAATGTTTCTTGTCTTACTAACATCTTTTTTTCCCTACACCTAAATGTCCATGCCCAATCTAATTTGCATGGTTAGAGTGCAGGCTATAATTGTGGCACATTTATGAGTATTATGAATGATTACCCTCATCATCCTCTGCTCCCGAGTCTGGTGCTTCGTTATCCTCCTGATCAAATCCATCTAAGTAGGTGATTTGCTGCAGCAGTTCAAAAATACTCTCTCTATAATCTTCTAGGGTTGTGATCTCACAGTTAAACAAGTCAAGACTTTTCAAGTTTTTAAGATTTTGCTGGGAAAATAAGAAGTTAAAACTTACAATCAAAATGTAAAATATCTTGTTATTTTCTTTTAATTCATGAACCAGAAAACATGTACTTGAAATCAGAGGATGAGTTTTGAATCTTTAGAATTTTATAATGAAGGGTTATTATATCAAACACAGCCAATTCTCTTAACGAAGCGCTGGCATGCTAACTCCACAGAAGTAGGAACTTGGTTGTGTTCAACTGCTGTGTCTCCAGCACCTGGCTTAGTGCCTTACTTATAAAAGGCACTCAATATATTTGTTGAGCGGATCTATGCACAAATAGGCAACAATAATAGCATGTTTAGTTTAAATCCACAAACTTACTTCCAACAATTTCAACCTCTTCACAAACTTTTTAAAAATCAGAGCAACAATTTTCACTTTATCTTCTTTTCCTTTCCTCATACTAGGAAACAAATGAGCAAATAATGAAATAACTAAAAAAAAAAAAAAAGTCAAGAAGAAAGGAAAAGGAATAGAATTTAAGAAAATATTAGAAATTTTCAGACCAGATATTCAACTCTTAAAGTTGATAATAAAATAAATTTCTCATGGGTTTAAAAAATTATCTTAATGTTTTACTTAAAAGGAAAAGAAAGCCTTAACCATCTAGATCAGGGGTGGGCAAACTTTTTGACTCGAGGGCCACAATGGGTTCTTAAACTGGACCGGAGGGCCGGAACAAAAGCATGGATGGAGTGTTTGTGTGAACTAATATAAATTCAAAGTAAACATCATTACATAAAAGGGTACGGTCTTTTTTTTTTTTAGTTTTATTCATTTCAAACGGGCCGCATCCGGCCCGCGGGCCGTAGTTTGCCCACGGCTGATCTAGATCAATGATTTTCAACCAGTGTGCTGCAAGAATTTTTAAAACATGCAATACCTGACTACTCAGGGGCACTCAACTCTTTTTCCCTTCGATTGTCAAATAAAAAAATGACAACACGCCCTAGCCAGTTTTGCTCAGTGGAAAGAGTGTCAGCCTGTGGACCAAAGGGTCCCGGGTTTGATTCCGGTCAAGGGCACGTACCTTGGTTGCAGGCTCCTCCCCAGCCTGGGCCCTGGTCAGGGCTTGTTCAGGAGGCAACCAATCGATGTGTTTCTCTCACATTGATGTTTCTCTCTGTCTTTCCTCTCTCTTCAACTCTCTCTAAAAATCAATGGAAAAATATCCTCAGGTGAGGTTTAAAATAAATAAATAACAACACAACACTAGCCATCTGGTGTGAATGCCCTGTCTTGAACCATAAATATATATGTCATATAATAGAGTTGCATCTTATTGGTCACATCACATAAGGTTGTATCTGATTGATTAATTCTTGATACCAGAAATTCTGTATGGGCACTTGATTTTTTAAAAAGTCACTTTGGAACAAAAAGGGTAGGTAATTATTTTTTTTCTGTAAATCATTCAAAATGCTTTTTTTTTTGGTCAGATCAGCAAAACATATATTTTTTGGTGTGTAGCAGAACTTCAGTAATTATTTTATGTGTGCCATGAGATGAAAAAGGTTGAAAATCGCTGATCTAGATAATAATATATAAGAAATTCAGAAGTTTCACAAGAATGAAATAGAAATCAATAGAATAACCTCTCCTGATATTTAAATATTTGTATAAATATTTATCAGTATTTTTCACAATAAGCAGATAAAAATTTCTGATATATATGAATTTTCACTTTTATTCTGATAGGTAATATCAATGAAAATTGTTATTCAAAGTACTATGAATATAGTATCTATTTTTTAGTAATTAAAAACCATCTGAAATTTTTCAGTGTTTACAATAGTCTTCTAATATTGGTGTCTCATTTGAGTGACTGATTAAACTTTATTGTACCTTCCTATCTTCTTTTACTTTTTTCTTTCCAGCATGGTATTCATTGTATGCCTTTTAACCTTCTTATTTATATTCTTTTATATATATTTTTTTTTTATTGATTTCAGAGAGGAAGAGAGAGGGAGAGAGAGATAGGAACATCAATGATGAGAATCATTGATTGGCTGCCTCCTGCACACCCCCTACTGGGGATCGAGGCCACAACCCAGGCATGTGCCCTTGACTAGAATCGAACCCGGGACACTTCAGTCCGCAGGCTGACACTCTATCCACCAAGCCAAACCAGCTAGGGCCTTATTTATATTCTTGTATTCTACTGATGAATAAAAGAAAAATATTTGTCTACTAAATAAATGAGCAATATTTTTCTGTTCCTGCTAATATATATATTTTATATATATAATATGCATATGTGTTATATATATGGTATCCCCAAAAAGATGTATATACACTTTAACAGCTGATAGCTCAATTCTGAAAATGAAATGCGTTTTAATAAACACTGCCTTTATAATTATTCAAAGTGTGTGTATACTTTTTTTTGGATACCCTATATATGCAAATCTCAGAAAATTCAACCAAAAAAGCAAGCCCAGAGACAAACCTTTCCACTTACCAGAGCTTCTAGTGCACTGAGATCTTTTATTTTGTTTCCACTCAGATTGAGGTGGGTAAGATTAGGACATTTCTCTGCCAGGACTTCCAACCCTCCAGAAATTCTGTTGTTACTAAGTTCCAACTATATATTCAACATGGGGAGAAAACAAAGAATGGTGAAGACTTAGAACAGATCAAAGATTGTAAAAATATATCAATTTGACAGAAAGCATTTGTCATTCTCTCTGGCTTCAAGACTGTCACAAGTAATTAATTTCCAAATTCCACCTACAACCACCAAAGAGTATGTTAGAACTCCTGTATGGATGGATGCTTGATTTATGATGGGTTATATCCAGATAAACCCACCATTGTAAGTCGAAAATATTGCAAGTCAAAAATGCATTTAATGCCCCGGTCGGGTTGTTCAGTGGTTAGAGCATCAGCCTGCAGACCAAAGGGTCACAGGTTTGATTCCCAGTCAAGGGCACACACCTCGGTTGCAGCTCAATCCCCAACCCAGGTCAGGGCACATGCGGCAGGCAACCAATTGATGTGTCTCTATCACATAGATGTTTCTCTCTCTCCCCTCCTCTCTCTCTTTCCCCTCCCTCCATTCTCTCTAAAAATCAATGGGAAAATATCCTCACATAAGGATTTTTAAAAAATGCATTCAGCCGTAACCGGTTTGGCTCAGTGGATAGAGCGTCGGCCTGTGGACTCAAGGGTCCCAGGTTCGATTCCGGTCAAGGGCATGTACCTTGGTTGCGGGCACATCCCCAGAGGGGGGTGTGCAGGAGGCAACTGATCGATGTTACTCTCTCATCGATGTTTCTAACTCTCTATCCCTCTTCCTTCCTCTCTGTAAAAAATCAATAAAATATTTTTTTAAAAATGCATTCAATACACCTAACCTAGCAACATCATAGCTTATGCCTAGCCTATCACATGCTCAGAATACTTACATTAATTAGCCTATAGTTGGGCAAAATCAGCTAATACAATTAACATATACACTGTAGGATATCAGTTGTTTACCCTCTGACTGGGAGCTATGGCTCATTGCCACTGCCCAGCATCACGAGAGAGTAACATACCCCATATTGCTAGCCCAGCAACAGATCAAAATTCAAAACTGGTGGTGCAGTTTCTACTGAATGCATATTGCTTTCACACCATCATTAAGTCAAAACGTTGTAAGTCAAACCACTATAAGCCGGGGACTGTCGGTATAATGTCTCCTAATGTAGGTTTGGTTCCAATTGTTTAACAGTTGGATTTTATGTTTCAGAGGAAAACTTTAAGCTGAAAATGTTAAGTTGAAATTCATACCATAAAGCAACTCATTATTAAATATAAATTTCTAAAAGCAAGCCCAGCCGGCATGGCTCAGTGGTTGAGTGTCGACCTATGAACCAGGAGGTCACGGTTCAATTCCCCGTCAGAGCACATGCCTGGGTTGCAGACTTGACCCCCATTGTAGGGTGTGCAGGAGGCAGACGATCAATGATTCTCTCTCATCATTGATGTTTCTATCTCTCTCTCCCTCTTCTCCCTTCTTTTCTGAAATCAATATACATATATAAAATAAATTTATAAAAGCACTTATTACAGCTGATTCCAAAATTCTACATAGCCCTTTTGCTTACCTCTAGAAACTTAGAACCTTTTAGTTAAAAGGCAGAATAGTAAAAATAAAATAAAATAAATAAGGCAGAATAGTTATTACATTTGGTAAAAAAACAAACACAGATCAGCCCTTGGCATTCAAATCATGATGCTTTGATGCCTAATGTCAACTTACCTTTCGAAGTTTATTTAAGTTGGGAAGCCGGGCCAGTGAACTTAGTTCCACATTAATCATACTCAGAAACTCTAGTTTTTTAAAAGTATCATTCAGGCCCTCAATTTCCCCATTGACACAACGGCAATTATCAATGACTAACTGTGTCATCTGTAAGAGAACAAGAATGATTCTTCAGTTTGCAGTCTGTTTAGCAAAAGACCTGGGGTCCAGACACTCTGGAAAAGTGAATATTAAAACCACCAATCCCTTTTTTCATTCTCCAAAAATACTGAAATACAGTCAACCAGTCATCACTATAAGTTAACCCTTTACATTTAAACCTGGACTAAGAAGTTTAATGCCTGCTTCAAATCACTGATGAACTAAAAAAAAAAACCTTTGAAGAAAGTTCCCATGTGAAACTTGTTTCCAACTCTGAGAAGAACTCTCAACATCAGGGCATATATTTATGCAGGGAGGGGACACCTAGGCTCAGGGGAAAGGATGCGAGTGAGCTGCCTGAAAACAGTAGAGAGGAGCAAGGAAATTATTTTTTCACTTTTTTTTCCAGTTTAATCCCCCTTATCTTTGGTTGATAAATGCCACCAAAACTCAAAAATACCATGTTACCCTCCATGAAGAAATGTTAGAAAGCTCCTCCTGAGACAACCCAGCTTTTGGATGTTATTTGTTCTAATATCAAGGCCAAACAATACCACCCGGAATGATACATCGTTGACAAAATGTTTATTTCTCCCTGCCATCTTGACAGCATTTTTGTGACTTTCTCCCCATGCCTGGGAGGGGGCAGGTGGTGGCTGGACCCTCTATTAGGTCAGAGCTGTAGAACAAAACTTTCTGCTGTGGGCCTACCCGGCCTTAATCTTAAGGGGGAGGCAGAAGTCCCTGACTCTCGGTTCCCACATGTTCCAAGTGTTCTGAGCGCTCAAATTAGCAACAAGGAGCGCCACCTTCTCTCCTTGAAAGTGTCTTCGCCTTAATGACTTCGGTGAGCAGAGAAGAAGGCATCATGATCTGTTTAGAGACGAGGAAGCCGAGCCCCAGAGGGTGAGAATGACCTGCCTGGTGCCAGACAGAACGTGATAGCGCCGCTGAGCGGAGAGGGCCGCTAAGTTTGGTGTCAGAACACCGGTTCCTCCACCCGAGTAACCGCATGGCCCGGGGACGCCACTAACACAGTCCACCTCCCCAGTGTGTTGGAGGAGTCGAGTGAGCAGCAAAGGGGAACGGTGCTTTGTAAACTGGGAAGAGCTATGCAAACGCACGACCGTTATTACACCACAGGGGAGGAAGGAGAGGCTGCAAAAAGCAACATCCGGGCACTCGCCAAAACTGGAAAGGAAATTACTTCCATGGCCCTAGGTAAGAGCGCGGGGGAGGGGTGACCGCGATGGGACAGGTAAAAGGATGGAGGGGGTATAGGTCCACTTTCCCATCCCAGGCCGTAAAGGCGCATTCTAAAGGCGCATTCTAAACGTGTGCTTCTGGGATGCAGCTTTTTAAGTTTGTTTTATTCCTGCAGCCCCCAGAGAGTCGGTGCTGGAAAACGTCCAGTTCTCTCTGATAACAGCGGCCGCTTCCTCCTCCCGCCACCTGCCAATTCCGGGAAACAAACTTTTACAAGTGCTCGCCGCCGCCGGGCAGCCCAGCCCATCTTCACGCCGGTGCAGAGCACCGCGGCCGCCGCCGGGAGATGACATCCCTTCCGTCCGACTCCGGCAGAAACTCATCTCTCGCCGTTCCGGCTCCTGACGCCCTCTCTCCTCCGGGACCAGAAGCGCGAGGTTCCCTCTGGCACCGGCCCCACTCTGGCGACCTGCCTCTCCGGCCGACCGAAACCCCACACGGGGCGGGGACTCCCCCCGGAAAAACGGGGTCGCCTCCCAGTGCCGCCTCCGCCCGGGGCGGGATGGGCTGGGTGACGCCGGAGAGGCGCCCTCGGAAAGGAGGCGGAAACGCCTCCCGCCCGACCCCCCAAAAGTTGACCGCAACCCCGCCTCGCGTGGCCCCTCCCAACCCCGTCCCTTTAAGGCGACGGCGGCGAGCGCGCCGCATTTCGTTCCGCCGAACCCATCTTTGAGGCACAAAACCCCTACGACCCAGGCTTTGAGTTTGGTGAAACCGTCTCCGGGGATCAAATTCGGAGTCGCGGCCGCCACGACGAGACAAGCCGAACGCCGCGGGGACGGTGCCTGCTCCTCGGGTCCCCGCCCACCGCCGATTCCCGCGA